GCAGAGTTATGACCTTAACAAGTATACTTATGAAAAAATTGAAATTGTTACTTAGATTTGTTGCTAATTGAATCACTGTTCTAAATAAAAATACCACATTTCTTTTGTTTTGTTGTACTAATTAATGTATAGCTTTCAAATGCTGCAAGAATGATCAAAATCCATGGATTGATTTGTGGGGTTTAACGTAAAAAAACCACCATATGATTATGAGACGCCTTAGTGGAGGGCTCCGGTAATTTCGTCCACCTGGGATTCTTTAACGTGCACCCAAATCCGAGCACACGGGCCTACAACATTTCCTGCCTCCATCGGAAATGCAGCTGCCACAGCCGGAATTTGGTCCCGCGACCTGCGGGTCAGCAGCCGAGCACCTTAGCCACTAGACCACCGTGGCGGGGCGAATTATCAAAATCCAACTGCTACATCAAAAGATACTGTGGGCAATGGCTTAGGGTGTAATGAAAAATGTTTAAAAAAACAAGAAAAGAAGTTTAGGAACGTGCTGAGCATTTATTTTAACAAGAAAAGGTGCGAATCGGTGTATTAATCATGTTAGAAACCACCAGAAATGTAGCCATAGGTCGTTTTCCTCAGTGCGCTTCCTTTTCATGGTGTGTCTAAAGTTGTCAGCATGCTCATGTTTTTTCTCCGATGCCACTAGGCCGGTGACTGTCCTTTTCCAAGCATCTTTCAGCTGCCACAACACTCTGCTGCAGGTGCAGAATGGCGGCATCTGCTCTTCCTTTGCCAGCGTTGAATCTTGCGATGACTTCGGCCACAGCAGCTTCAGCAGTGAAAAGCGACGAATACCGTATTTACTCTATTCTACCGTGCCCTCGATTGTAACGCGCACCTGATTTCCACGATGGAAAAAAAAGAAGTAAGACATCAATTGCAACGCGCACCCATTTTTCTCGCTGGCTCGCATGATCCCAACACTCGAAAAAACAACTCCTTTCGGGAGCGTCTTCCATTTAAATATGAGGTACGGGGGAAGCTTGTGCCCATCTGATGTGTAACAGAGCATTGCCGTCACTGTAGTTTTACCGTGGACCGATGTCAGCGCGCGAGCTTGCTTCGCCCCCTTCTTCTCGACGGTTGTGGTGCCAGGCATGTCGAAGTAAAGAGGCGTCTGATCGGCATTCCCGATTTGCCCAAGCAGGTAGCCGTTGTTGTGCCGCAAGTTTAGGACGAACCTCTGAAAACTGTGAAGCTTTTCATCGTACTCCTCCGCAAAACTTTTCGCATATGCCTGTTCACCGTTCGGAGGGAAAAGTCTTTCCTCTTCATAAAGTTGGTTAGCCAACACCTGCTCGCTTTAAACTGGCTCCGCGTTAGACCTTTTTCTAAGGCTAATTGCATAGCCCACACTTGGAGCAGTTCTGTCGTCACGGGCCGCTGTGCCGCTCGCTGCTCAAGCACATACTCGCCGAGCAGTTCTTCAATTTGCGGAAACTGACCCTGCTGTGGTCCACTGAAGCCTTTGCGTGAAGCTTTGCTGTCGACAATCTTCTGCTTTTGTTTCCGCCAGTCCCGCACGCATGTTTCGGGAACTCCATGAACGACCGCGATGTGGCCCGATTTCCGTCCGTTTCTGCACACGCGATGACTTTTCTTTTAAAAGCGGCATCGTGGTGCACTCGGGTTTTTGGAGTCGGCCCTTCCATGCCATCGATGCTAATGCACAACAATATGACGAACTCCTCGGCACACGTACGAAGTGCGGCACATGGGAAACACATAGGCAGAAAGGGCCGACGGGCGATGCCGACGCACGTAGGGGGGGCCATTTTGGAAATGCCGATGGCAATAGAGTGACTGTATTCATTTTTTTTTTTCGTACTCGATTCTAACGCGCATGCGATTTATGAACTCGCTTAACCGGAAAAAAGGTGCGCGTTAGATTCGAGTAATTACGGTATTTGTTCTTGGACACAAGTGACCAGATGATGGAGTGCGGGCTCACATTTGGGTTTTGCCTCGCTGACAACGCTCCAGCAGTTCTTTGTCAAAGAGACGCGTGTAAACAGGCCGCAAGACATCAACAACATACTCCTGCAGGTCGTAGCGATGTTTTGGAAGAGTCTTCTGTTTGGCTACAGCCCTGTTGTACTTGCACCTTGACTCTTCATCAGTTGGACGATGAGAGTGCTGAAGACTTGCATCAGTAGATGCAACGTGATAAAAAGTTGCCCAGACAACACTATGCATGGCCTGAATTTTACCCTGGTTACTTTGCAAAGCCCATCCATAGTATGAAGCGAGCTTTGTGACCAGCTAACCAGTCAGTTTGCCCTTGCCGCCAAGGTTTGGCTTTCCTTCGGCTCTTGTTTTTTTAGCAGGTTTTGGAGAGCTGTGCCCATGCGCTTTGTGGGAATTGAGGCTAGCCTGCTGCCTTTGCGCGGGCTTTGCCGCCTTTTCTGCCGTTCTCATGTCCCAACATGTCTCCCCTCCTCCGATGTCTGCCGCGCTGGGGGAGCGGAGTGACGTTTAACCCCCTCATCTGGTAGCAGATGTTGACTGTGGCGTCGCGCGCGGAGTCTCCCGAGAGGTTATTGCGCGCTGCGTCGGGAGCGGGCAGATACTCTCTGGGACAGCAGACGGTGAGCCACGCAATCTTTTCCGTGCGTCGACTCCCGTCGCTCGGGGCTTCTCGAACTTCGCTGACGACGCCTCGCACCCGAGGCGAACGCTCACGTTTTGTTGCCCCTCTGCGTACGCTCGGCTGAAGAGTGGTACGGCGTTCTAGTGCATGGCCAGGCTACGTCGACCCGTCTCCCTCCTAAGCCAACGCGAGCGCCTTTGCCCTCGCTCGAGCAACCGGGCCTTGGTCCCGGTGTCTCCGTGAATCACCTTTACCAGGGAGACTGTGCTCGTGGCACCCTGTGTAGTACTTTTATGCCCGTGGCGTGGATAAGCCCATTTGCTTTCCCACCGCGCATTTGCAACAGACTGTACTGCAGTTTGGTGTTGCCAGCAGACAATAAAGCGTTGCGACCTTGAGCCGCACTCCTTCGGGATGCGTGTAGAATACAGCTTAGGCACATGGTTGACACAGGTCCTCTTTTTCTATTGGCACGAAAGCCATATACCTGTGCCTCCTGCAGACTGTCGAAGGCCCGGTTGTCTCCATCACACAGCATAGTTGTGTAGCAGAGCCCATGTCTCTCCCGTGAGAGGCCAAAGAAAATTTGTGCGGCTTCCACCTCCATTTGTCCTGGTTTAATGGTATTCTTTTCGCTACGGCGGCCAGCTAGCCACATGGCATACCTTGCGTTGTCCTCTATAGGCCGAAGCTGGCACCCTAAGCAGAACTTGTATAGGACGACGAAGTCTAGCACATAACCGTGAATAATTCAATCACGGTCCCTACACAAATATGGGATGAGTGACCCCTGGTTAACCAAGTCCCATCAAAAGAAACGGCGATATTTCCAGGATTTCCGTAGCTTCAGTTCGAATACATTGTTTTTACAATGCTCGCGCAGTTGTCTACAATGCACGCGGCAGGCAGCCTTCTGCGCTGCAGGGTTCATCTATAGTTTTATGCAGTCCTAGTACGTCTTGGTATGCAGGTCTCTTCGTGAAATATTCAGGGCAGGAAAAGATATCATTGAGAGCAGTTTGTCAGTTCCCTGTGCTGATTGCCATGTGAACAGCGAGCACATTAGTTTCGAAGGGGCCGTGCGTGGCGTCCCCCCCTGCTCTCGGCGAGCTCCACACGGTCTTCGGTTTGCCGCACTCGTCACACGCGAGAACAAGTTTCGTGGCAATGCCATATTCGCAGTCTTCCTTGGAGATTCTTCCAGGCGCGCCACACACACCGCGCTTCATACACTGAAGAAGCTCTTTCATCATCTCTAAGCTAACAACAGCAAACGGCGTACCAGACATTGCGGCTTCATCATTCTCCCCCCCCCCCCAAAAAAAAGACCGCTGGCGATGTGTGGCTAACTTCGATGACATGTCTTGCAAGACATCACTCGCACGACGCTCGATGACCACTTTTTCAGCGTCTGACACCACAAGAGTGTCGACGCGCACAGCTCTTGCGTGATCTTGGGGTGCGGCTATCGCGTCCACGATCTAAGGGCGTCACGGCTGTGATAACGTTGGCATTGCCTGCTTCTTGCGTGTTCTCGGTGGCAGAAGGTCTCGCTGGTGATAAGGCGCGAGCTCTCCGACGCCGTTTTCGACTTTTTCCAAACGCATAAGCTGTCGGGAACTTCCGACGACCGCCTGCCATCGCACGGATGGCAGGCGGTCGTCGTTTCTATGTCGGCCCATTTTAATGGGCCGACATGGAAATTCCCTGCTTGTTATGCTGACTCATAATCGTGGATTACCTTAGCCAAATCCACATTGAGTTTCGTTTGTTGGCTTTGCATACGCATTGCTGTCGCTCATGTGCGGAGCAGTAGCAGTCGCTGTATGCGCTTTGTGCAATGTGAACTGTGTGCAGCGACCGTACAGTCTGATTTGTCTGCCCGCAAAGATGACACCTCCAAAGGAGCATGATGACGATGTGGCAATGAGCAATTTTTACAACGCGAGTCAAGAGCAATGGAACTGCTGCGGGGAAAGGCTCGGCAAAGTAAGCTTATTGACTTTTGGCAATGAAGTGTGTCTTCAGTCAATTCCTGTCTTTTCTGACGCATTCTTGTGCCACCGAAATTCCACAAGAGCGAAATTTTTTACTTTCCCTGCCAACTTGGTTATTGCAGGTTTGAACTGTCAGATACACCTGAACATCTCATTCACTTTCATTACAATGAAGCTCAATTTCCTAAAGAAAACAAGGATAAATGCACATGCCCTCATACCGTGACTACAGATGAACAGACAGTCTTAATTATAAGGAGCTAGCACCATGAAAAAGGTGGTACACATTACTAGTGTAATGGACAATGCTGTAACTAATGCTTGCTATATACCTTCGATCCCGAACAACAAGCTGGTATAAACGAGAGTGCTAAAAATGGACTTACCTGTATGAGACTTGATGTGGTCAAATAGTGATTCTTGATGACTTGTAACAAATGGGCAAGCATAACAACGAAGCACCAGCAGTTCTTTTGTCGAGAGAGGCTCCGTGGTCGTGTGGTTGCCCTGAACAGAACTGACCGACTTGGAATCTCGGTTCGACATTCTGTTTTCAGAGCGGTCGCATGACTGACTTGTTATGGCTTGCGACAAAGATGCCACTGAAAGACATAGATGATAACACCCAATAACAGAAACCACTTCACTAAGTGCCCACATAAAGGCAGGAAAATGCAAACAATGTGAAACGAACAAGCTGCAGCATGATGTATTGCATGTGTTCAGTTGAAAAACGTACTGTGCTCAAAAACGAACATGCTGCAACATGACGTACTACAGGTGTTCAGCCGAAAAACGCATTGTGCTCGAATCGGCTAGTAAGAATGAAAACAAATAACACTCCTTTCATGCCCGAGTGGGTCAGTGAAGAGTACATTCATGTCTGTTCTTGGTGTCATTATTTACGCTTGCAGTGAGCCAAACACTGCTATGCTCCTGCGTATGTCATACAAACGAGTTGAGGGCCATATCCCAACTTAGATAGAACATATCTGACAAAAATAAATCTATGTAAGGGTAACGCACACCTTTTCCTCAGCCCACACATCTTCAATACACAAGCATATGAACAACCGTGCTCGAGAGAGCACCACAAAATGTCATTACCCACATATGCACTCGATTTTATTATTTTTATTTGGAACATTACCCGCAGCGCCATCATAGGCATTATTGCCGGGGGCACAGGGCCTCATAGAATGAATCTGCAGTCTTGCGGCCAACTAAATCAGCTGGTAGTATATTCCTTTCGACAATGGCTTGTGGAAAAAAAGGAATGCTTAAACAGATGGCCGTACTTTAAATTTGTGGTCATGACGAGAGGAATGATAATGCGCTAGGTTTTGAATATTTTGAAGGAATAATGCCCACTTTCTTGTTATAGATTGAATAAAATAGTTTCAATCTTAGATTACATCTTCGATATTGTAAGTATTGCCAATTAAGTTCTCTTTTCATACATTGGGAGCTTTCAGTTCGGTCATATTTTCCCAGAACAAATTTTGCTGCTATCGACTGAATGCGCTCTAGTGCATGAATGTGTACTTTGTGAAACGGATCCCACACAGGAAAGGAGTATTCCAGTACTGGTCTGACATTGGCGTAATATGCGGCCTGTTTAACCTCCTTGGTTACATGTTTAAAGGGACACTAAAGTGAAATAACAATTCACGTCGGATTGAAAGCTCAATTTATGACAACATATAAAATGACAATATTATCAACAACAGCGCCCTACTTACCGAGAAATTAAGGGAAGATGCTACTCGAAAAACGATTTTCTTACATAAGAGTCTGAATTTAACACAAATCGGCATGCTAATAGTTTTTTTTTTCTCCTCTTTTCAAATATGTCATTTATTTTCATGTAGATTGCTTGTTTTTCTTTCTGCAGGTCAGATACTGCAAAATTAGGGCCATTGTTATGCAACAATTCTGACCTATAAAAATTTGAGATAAAGCATGCAGATATAGCTGACTATGATCCTTTGGAACTGTAGAGTGCAAAAAACTATATAAATTTTGTGTCTAAAAAGGTGAAATACAATAATAAAATAGAAAAATTTACTATGACTCTAGTTGCCAAGGGCTTTCAATGTTATGTAATTTTTGAAAATAATAATCAAGCAGCACTGACAATCTGAATAGATACTTGCACTATATGGGCCTTCATCATGCTATGTGCAAAATTTCATAGAGGTATGACAATTCTAAGTATACGAACTAGCGTGTATAAGAAGCACAGATCACACAAAACTGCAAAAGGAGAAAAACGCATTTGAAAGTTTGAAACTTTTTTTTTTATAACAAAGTTGTTAGAAATGCATAATCTTTGGCCATAATGTTCAACAGAACTTTGAAGAGCACTGCAAGTTACTAGAACTGTCCTGCAGCATAGGTTGTGCCCTCACGGTCCTTGCGAGCACTCTCTTCTAGCCGTGCCCTTTTCACTCCACGACGACAGTGGGCCCTTGCTTCTGCTGTCAGACGCTCGGACATTCTCTTCATGCGCCTCGCATCACGGGAATCACTGAAAGTAACTAGATCTCTAGATGGCAGTATGTTGAGCTCTTCCAGGATGTGCTCGAAAGTAGCATGACCCTTGATGAACCACAGGATTGCCATAGCTGCGGCAGTCTCGACAACCGTTCAGGAGACAAACTTAGTCTTGGGGCAAAGTAGCCAAATTTTGCTGTTCAGGGATTCCGATGCGTTTTGGGTTTTCCCTTTGATGCATCGAGCAAGGAACTTTTCATCCGTTAGCCGCTTATAAATGGGCAAAACAGCCAATCCCTGTGCTTTTGTCAGGAGAGGTGTGTGGCGTGGTACAGGTTCACCAAGTGCTTCAGCGCGTTGATGTTTGCACCACGTTCTCTGTTCCTGCAGGCCAAAACTTGTGGCTGCCAGCATTGTCAGTAGAGCATGAGTGGAAGTACGAAGCCCATACTGCAGTGTACATATCCCGTACACTCCCCCTGTTGCTTGTTATGGCAATCTGATAGCATGTTTGGAGCTTCTGAATGGCTGGCTCTTTCATTTTCTGCCCTCGTGGTAATGGCACATGCAGCTTCCGTAGCGCGGTGCCAAGTCTCTTGGCCACGAGATCAGTGCAGTCTTCTTTTTCTATATTGACAGCACCATAGACTTTTGACTCTGCAACTGCACTATATGCTTTGCTGTCACCGTCACTCAAGAATGTCATGAAATGCAGTGGGGTGTCATAAGTCAATGTTCTCTGCCAAATGCGCATTGCAGCCTCCGTTTCCATGGCATGGGAGGAACAGTCTGCATTTTTTTCACAGACTGGGCCATGAAATGCCTGCCACACTTCCTCGTCTGGGCCCATATCCTTGTGCCTACTGCATGTCAGGCAGTAATTTGATATGACCTCGAAGTCTAAGCAGAGGCCAGTATCTAAGGAGATAACTGCGCCAATCCCGTTGTGGCTTTTGTGGCCCCTCTTCTCCCAAGTGCCGTCGAACATAACAGCCACATCAGTTTCGCCTGCTACTTTTTTCGTCAACTCTCTGGATCGGCGCAAGTTTTCACTCACAGCTGCCATGGCAGCGGTGTGCACCTTCTTTGCTATTGAAAAAAATCCACGGTGGTGCATTGGCTTTGGGAGTCTAATAATGGAGCAAAATCTCGACAATTGCTCATGCCCAATGCCGACAGCGCGTGCAGCCACCACCGCCTTCACATTTACAGCGAAACTATCTCGGGAGCTCCCACTGTCGTACCGTTGGCTCACTCGGCTGCTGCCGTCCGCCATAACACGCAGTGGCGTATAGAAGCACGAAAAAACAGTCGCTGAGCATTCGCTGTTTTCGCAATGAAGTTCGAGGAGCGACGAAAGTCCCTTGCGCTTTTTTGCCGGCTCCCGAACGGCAAGTTTTTGAATACCACAAGCAGGGCATGCCGCATCTGCCCCAAGTGCCGTCAGCAAGAGGGTGTCGCACAAAACTGTTGTTGCACAAACCTCATCGCGCCGTCTTTCGTTTTTTTCGAAGAAGCCGCGCTTCTTTTCCGAAGCACTGACGAAAAAAAGCGCTGCGTCAATCCCTTCATCGCAGCCACTGTCGCTCGCGCACTCGTCGATGCCGCCGTCAGGCCTAGCACACGTAGGCGCATTCTCGTTCGTCGCCGTCATTCGGGGCGCTTTACGCAGCCTTCCCTTGAACTTGTGCTTCGTTCGAAACTTCTGCAGTCTCACGTTGCACTTTTTTGGGCTTGTCATCGCGGAAATATGCGTAGACGTGCAGAAAAGCAGACGGACCAAATGCCGATGGCCGCCACCAACACAGCTGACAATGACACGGTAGCCAATGGCGATGCGGCTTAGGGTGCCGCGCGTTTCAAACCGCTCAAACCACGCGATAAAAAGGCCTAATTTTTTTTTTTTTTTGCCCCACGTACGAAACTGGCGATCATCGGAGCTGTAAGAAGAAGGCCAGACGCAACTTTCCCAACCGATCGCGATGGCGGGCGGCACTGCGACGGGGAGCAGCGCGCAGTCAAATATGGCCAATATCGGCGCAAATTCACGAAATTTTCAGCCACCGCGATGCCTTCATACACATTTTTTTGCATTTTGAAGTTCGAATTTAGTTTTGAAATTTTCACAGATGAAAGAAGAAGGTTTGAAGATTACAATGCAATAAAAATCAGAAATACGAGAAATTTCGCTAAAAACGCGATTTTTCGACTCGCATCTCCCCTTAAGGTAAATGCACGAGAACACAAGCGCGGCAGTAAGCATATTCAAAACGATCCTGCAGACATCAGACGAACCGCCTACAATTATTCACCAGTAATCGATCTAACTGCACTAAATAAAGAACCTTCCTTGCATCAAGAGATGCAATAAAATGCAGCTTGTTCGTTTCTGTTTTAGATCTGAAAGAAAGAACTGCCGGACGTTACTATGGGTAATTGAGCGAGTGGTTCGAAAATTCGATTTTCGTATGGTTACAAGGAACAGGTGGTGCTATCTAGCGGGGCGCAGTCGAAACAAAAGCGTCTGCAATCTCGAAGCCAATGGCAAGAAATTGATGAATGGCTGTTGTTGCTGCTGTGGTTCCCACTGCTTTCGGTCTGCTGCTACTAGCGCAGTAAAGCTGGGCAACGGTGTGCACGGCAACAGTGACGTGAGTCGGTCCGGTCGGTCCGCTTCTTGAGACGGGTAACTTAAAGTGCGCTAACCCGATGCGGATCTTTAAAACGTGACTTTATATCAAGATAGGTCCTTCCTTGGCACAGAAGTAACACTAAGAAGTTTCTGAACTGCCATTTCAACAATCAACGTTGACTTAATAGTTGACTTTAGTGTCCCTTTAAGATTTCTTTGTAAAAAGCCTAGGGCTTTTCCAGCTCTGCTAATAACACTGACAATGTGTTCAGACCATCCCCTATCCTCCGAAAACGAGACACCCAAGTACTTGTATTCGTGTTCTTTCCTAATAACTTCATTGTTTAAGATGTACTGATTTGTAAACCTATTCACCTTTTGATGAAACTGACGTGAACGCATTTACTAGTATTTAGTACCATGTCATTATTTTTACACCATACCTCCACGTGATTAAGGTCATCCTGAAGCTGGGTGGAATCCGTTTGGTCGCTCAGTACAGTATACAACACACAGTTATTTATTAAGCTAAACTACCTTTAATTTAGGGAGAAATTCAAATAAGTCAAATGAAATTTTATTAAGAAAACAAGATAAAAAAAGCAACTAACCACACTGTCCATGTTTCATCGACCTATCTGAGAGAAGCACTTTCGTGTTGCAATCTTATAAAAATGTGCTTCGAAATGATCTCCAACTCTGTTTTGCTATTTCGCTTCGAAGTATCAGCAAAGTTGACGCTCGCAACTTTGCTAATGGGTGCTTTGTTACTCCGTTGAATGAAACCAGTTTCCTCTGATGATAGTTTATTGATGGTGTGTGACACAGCTCCCTCACTTGTATGCATCATTCAAGATTCTGCAGTAATGATCCTTTCAATTCTGTCATGCGCATCTGCTAAGACAATTGTTTTCTCTAAATACGGTGCACATTTGCACTGCAAGGCATGCGAACTAAAGATTACCAGGGCAGGTAATCCACTGACAATTATTTCAATGATCTTGTAGTGTTTGCCAGCCAGCAACACTAACCATGCATCATTCAAGACTGCCATTTCAAACTTGTAACACCACTCTTCTCTGTAGTGCAGCAAATGACATTGAGAGTATTTTTAATTCACTAATTAGTTACTTGATGCCAATGAAATGTGGTAACAAAAAAAGCTGCTCACTCCGCTCATGCTTCTTAAGGTGTAGTGCCATGCCCGCTTTTCCTGCAGCGCTGAAGGGACATAAATGACACTGGAGTCTGGCAGTTTTCTTGCTGCGTTTGCAGCCACTCGTAGCTGGCGATGCCTGGCTGTGTTTCGTGGTCCTTCCATCCGTCTCATCGCCTGGACAAAAAATGCATCACAAGCGATTCATGAGACTAAATTCAGGCTATCTGGTGACAAGCTGCACTTGAAGGACAATACAAAAACAGGCAGAAACAACTGCTCGTCAACAATTGTGGGCTTACTTTTCCACCACAAACTACAGTACACTCTCAGAAAGCGAAAACTTGTCAAACAGAACTGCTGCTCAAACGGAACAAGTGTTTTGACAAGATTGGTTCTGCTCTCGCATTACGCACCCTTGTTCATCTTTTGGTAAACGGAACATAATTACTGGTCCCTTCTGGCTCTGTTTAACGATAGTATGGGGAACCTGCATTGAGCTGGTAGCGCCGCCGCGCGGGAGGGAATGAAACAAAGTGGCATGAAACGTGCAGCACCCGCTCCACAAGCCGAGCTGTGTCATGCTAGTGGAGAGCTTTGCAATGTCACGCATGAATTGCTGCGTCACCAACTCCGCTAATAATTACGAGAAATTCCCTCCTGGAATAAAGTAATTCCGTTTTTCTGGCCGTCAATGCCTGCCAGGTAAGTGGAAATGGTGGATTTGGAGCGTTCATCATGTGATGTAAGTGATCCTGTGCATGATAATAGAGTACATGTTTTTGCTAGTTCAATTTTAATTCCGCCCCATGCAAGTGAACTGGTGTTTTTGCATTGCAGACGGAATTGAGTGGCAGTGGGCAAGGTGATTTTGGGTCTGCAATGCACATTTTGTTGGTGGAAAGCCATAGACGGAGTCAGCTTCTCCCTCGTACGCTCCTGCTATTTTGCCGCCAACGTACCGCAAAAGTTTGGTGATCGCGGAGGACAAGAGGTCCCGCTTGGATGTACATGTATAATTTTTACGCGGACCATAGTTAAGACAGTTTAAAGGAACACTGAAACACTTAAAAAAACTATACTATGGTAACATGATATGTAATTTCGTGTGGCGAACATGAAAATCATGTAGAAAATTTGCATATTCCAACGCAAATAACTCCATTTGGCCGAAAACAAGCAACAGGCACCGCGGCCGCCATCGCGAGTCTCGCCGGTGCTGTGATTGATTGAAGTTCTATGATGTCACTATTGTTATGACCGTCGTCAGTAGGCGCCATGCTGTCGCTTAGCAGTGTAGCCGGGCAGCGCTCCCACGCCTGGAACCCCAATTCTCTCGGAACCAGCGTCCAGAGCTGACGGGGGAGCGGCGCTCTTTTAATCCTCAAACAAGTAGCCGACTGGCCGGCTGCCTATGCCCGCCAGGCATTGTCCCTGCTAGCCGAAGGATGAGACGTCGTGTCGCCACGACGCCGTAAGCCGTTCCAGAGAGGACAACAAAGACAGCATCTTCCTTGGAAGAAACCGCGGCCGCCGCCACAAATTGCCCTGCTAATTGAGCGGACAGATCGGCGGACCGTTTGATATATGCTGTCAGGAGCTTGGGACCCCTCGACCAGCGGCACACACACGACGAGGAAGAGCCCCTCTGGCGCCACCTTGCAGTGCAGTGATCACGACTCAATATTGGATGTTCACGTGGGCCGTGCATGCTCGTACCCCCCGCCTGTTGTGTGTGTGTGTGATTGGTGTTCCACTCAAGAAGGAGGAGCCCGACAGGGCTTAGGACGGCGCCGCAGAGTGCGGGACGTCGCTCTGAACCATGTAATGGTTCAACCACCACGTTCGTGGTTTGTGAACTCCTAACCTCATGCTGTAAATATTTGTAAATACTGCCATAAACCTGTTTTTCGTATCCCCATCTTGTCAGTATTCGTTTCCTCCACCCGAAGCTACACCACGCTACCACAAGAGACCGGGTAGACCCCGGTCCGCAACAACTGATGATCAGCGCTGGGATTCGGAGCGACTACTGATGAACAGCGCCGAGAGGCGCTACAACTGGTTGCCAGCGGTGGGATACGACTCAGCACCGGGATGCACAACACTATCAGGAAGGTGAGAACAGCTGACTGTGCTTGCTGGCAGTCAATGCCGTGTTTATCTGATGAAATCGGGTAGTTGTTGAAAGTATCGCGAATTGCAAAAGTCGGACCGAGTTCGCTGTACGTCCGTACATGTTCAAGCCAGTCGCCACTTTAAAAGGTCAACGACTGAAGCGGCACAAAAAAGTGAGTCCCAACAAGCCACCTTCACCCGTGTCATAACGTATCGAATCTGCGGCACAATTTGTCTCCCTTCGTTCGAGGCTCTAAAAAACCCTGCGCTCTTTACTTTCTTGACGTCGGCACGCTTTATAACACAAATAGCTATCGCGCGCACGCACATCTGCAAAAACAGGGGCGCAGCAGGACAGACGAAAATTCGTCGCACGTCAGTTATAACTCGGTGGCCACTCGTGGCGCTGACGGCATGCTGGCACACTGCATCGGCGTGCCACCTGTAGGTGCCGCATGTTCCCCATACTGTATGTCCGTTTCAGAAACTCAACGAAATTCTCAACATATTGCGGTCAAACCTCGTTATGGTGAACCTCAGATTAACGGTTTTTTTTTTTTCAAATGAATTACTTTTTTAGAAAACCCCCTTCAAATGTCCATTGGTGTAATGTAAAAATATTTCACGACTATGAATTTCAGAATACAGAATATTTCAAAATAACGTATCGAATCTTATTTTCCTGATATCTCCACAACACTACAATATAACGAATAGCAATTTTAAGAAGTCACTCGCGGCTGTAAAAGTAATGCCCAGCAGAGTACGCACCCCTATCATCAGAACGGCTGCATATTTTTCTAATGCCCACTCTATTCAAATGTGCAATAGCCTATCGCCATCGTCATCGGCTAGTATTTCTCTTCTGCATCAGGCATCAAACCGTTGCCTTTGCTTTGGCCGAGCAGCTTTACCTACGCGCTTGTTACACAGCTGCTTTCTAGTCTTTTTGGATAGTGATTGAACGTTGAAGATGAGCTCCCCGAGCAGCGTGAAAGGAATGCTACGGCGGTGAAAAATGCGACGCGAGTGCCTAGTGCGATCAAGTCTCCAATGATTACCCGCGCATGAACTCTACACACAGTGCGATGACGGAGCATGCGCATGTGCTTAGCTGACGGCCGACATGATCCATAACATTTGTCATGAAAACAGCGACCAGTGCGAAAACGACGTTGGAACAACCCGTGCAAACCAACATGAACAATCGATATTTAACGACTACGCTTCGAGAGTGCAAAAAGGATGCGCACGTTTAAGAGTTCGTTTTTCAGCAGTCGAACTGCCCACATCAAGATAGATCGCGCTGTTCCTCAAATAAACGCGCACTGATTTCGTACCATTTCGAGCTTGTTTTTTTCCCGCTTACTAGAGCATAACACAGGACAGGTAGGCTACTCATGTGCTTGCGTTTACGATTCTTGCGCAAACTTTCAGTACTTTCACTACGACTTTTCAAAATAAGGAATGAATTTTTAGCGGTCCCTTGAGATTCGTTGTATCAAAATTTCACTGTATTTTTGTAGTTCGAACGAAATCAGCACAAGGACTGCACACCGGATATAGGCAACGAGATAAGGTGTTTACTAAGAGCGAATTCACTTGATTTTAGTGAAATATTTACTCTCGCAGAAATAGAACTAAACCACAAAAGTAGATTTGAAGACTACATTCAATGATAATGTAAGTGGCAAAAAAAGATGTCACTTATTAACCAGGACAATCATGCTACTTTTTCAGCAAGTCTATCGAAGCCGTGCTGACAGACGAGTCGGTGCATGTGAGAACATAAAATTTTAATTTATTTCAAGACTAGGTTATTCCACTATGGCAAAATAAACTTGTTACTATTAGACAATGTCCTTGATTGATATGCGGGGTTTAACATCCCAAACCACGACATGATTATGAGAGACGCGGTAGTGGAGGGCTCCGGTAATTTCGACCACCTGGGGTTCTTTAACGTGCACCCAAATCTGAGCACACGGGCCTACAACATTTCCGCCTCCATCGGAAATGCAGCCGCCGCAGCCAGGATTCGACCCTGCGCCCTGCGGGTCAGCAGCCGAGTACCTTAGCCCCTAGACCACCGCTGTGGGGCTATTAGACAATATCCTCTGAAAGCTTTCTGGACCAAACGTGGCTATGTAGTGCCTCCAGAATCTGAGGCATTACAAGCTCTACACCTAACTTGCTTATGCACTGCCTCTGAAATCGGTGGGACCGACCACGAAGGCACTGTAAAGCGACGATGTCATGTAATGATGTCATGATGACAACACAAATTTTCGTGATCTGCAACATCACGACGGCGCTATGTGGTGTCACCATCACGTGGTGGCTTTTGTATCACTCGCGTTACCATCGCTGATGCGGGGCACCAATGCTCAATTTTCGCATTTGATGTTAAAATATTAAATATCGTTAAATCATGATAAATAGTAGTAATAATAGGTCGGAGGGGCGAAAATAATCGTGGAAAAGAGCACTCTTTCTCCACTTCCTGGCCCCTTTCACCGATATTTCCCTACTGTTTATCAAGCTGTACTGTCATTGTTGAACTAAACACAAACAACGAAGCGTGTTGCCCAAGCGTTAAGAACTGTATACCACTCCGTCCTGTTGCCACCATTTACAGGTGCACACACGTATTAAGCAGCACTGAGCAATCGAAAGCGCGAATATGGCTCACGAGCGGCAAACCACATGTAGCTCTTCCAGTACTCCACAACCCCAGCCCGTACAAGCCAAGCCACAGAATTGCACTCTTCAACAAATGAAAGCCATATGCATCTTGCAAAATAACACTTGCACAGATTGCCTTGCCTTTTACTGAAAGTGAAACACTTTCAAGAATTATGGCATGCATGAAACTTGATTTTTAATTTCAGTTTACTCAAGCAGCCTTGATACTTAATCATCACATATCACATATGCACTCATAATAATCACATATCACATATGCACTCATCATAATCACATATGCACTCGATTTTATTATTTTTATTTGGAACATTACCCGCAGCGCCATCATAGGCATTATTGCGGGGGGGGCACAGTGCCTCATAGAATGAATCTGCAGTCTTGCGGCCAACTAAATCAGCTGGTAGCATATTCCATTCAACAATGACTTGTGGAAAAAAAAGAATGCTTAAACAGATCTGTCCTAGGGTTGTATGGCCGTACTTTAAATTTGTGGTCATGACAAGAGGAATGATAATGCCCTAGCTTTGAATATTCTGAAGGAATAATGCCCGTTTTCTTGTTATAGATTAAATAAAATAGTTTCAATCTTAGATTACGTCTTCGATCTTGTAAGTATTGCCAATTAAGTTCTCTTTTCATACATAGGGAGCGTTCAGTTTGGTCATATTTTCCCAGAAATTAAGGTAAATGCACGAGAACACAAGCGCGGCAGTAGGGCTTCTTCAAAACGATCCTACAGACAACAGAAGAACCGCCTACAATTATTCACCAGTAATCGATCTAACTGCACTAAATAAAGAACCTTCCTTGCATCAAGAGATGCAATAAAATGCAGCTTGTTCGTTTCTGTTTTAGTTCTGAAAGAAAGAACCGCCGGACGTTACTATGGCTAATTGAGCGAGTAGTTCGAAAATTCGATTTTCGCGTGGTTACACGGAACAGGTGGTGCTATCTAGCGGGGCGCAGTCGAAACAAAAGCGTCTGCAATCTCGAAGCCAATGGCAAGAAATTGATGAATGGCTGTTGTTGCTGCTGTGGTTCCCACTGCTTTCGGTCTAGCTGCTACTAGCGCAGTAAAGCTGGGCAACGGTGTGCACGGCAACAGTGACGTGAGTCGGTCCGCTTCTTGAGACGGGTAATTTAAAGTGCGCTAACCCGATGCGGATCTTTAAAACGTGACTTTATATCAAGATAGGCCCTTCCTTGGCACAGAAGTAACACTAAGAAGTTTCTGAACTGCCATTTCAACAATCAACGTTGACTTAATAGTTGACTTTAGTGTCCCTTTAAGATTTCTTTGTAAAAAGCCTAGGGCTTTTCCAGCTCTGCTGATAACACTGACAATGTGTTCAGACCATCCCCTATCCTCAGAAAACGAGACACCCAAGAACTTGTATTCGTGTTCTTTCCTAATAACTTCATTGTTTAAGATGTACTGATTTCTAAACCTATTCACCTTTTGATGAAACTGACGTGAACGCATTTACTAGTATTTAGTACCGAGTCATTATTTTTACACCATACCTCCACGTGATTAAGGTCATCCTGAAGCTGGGTGGAATCCGTTTGGTCGGTCAGTACAGTATACAACACACAGTTATTTATTAAGCTAAACTACCTTTAATTTAGGGAGAAATTCAAATAAGTCAAATAAAATTTTATTAAGAAAACAAGATAAAAAAAAGCAACTAACCACACTGTCCATGTTTCATCGACCTATCTGAGAGAAGCACTTTCGTGTTGCTATCTCATAAAAATGTGCTTCGAAATCCTCTCCAACTCTGTTTTGCAATTTCGCTTCGAAGTATCAGCAAAGTTGGCGCTCGCAACTTTGCTAATGGGTGCTTTGTTACTCCGTTGAATGAAACCAGTTTCCTCTGATGATAGTTTATTGATGGTGTGTTGACACAGCTCCCTCACTTGTATGCATCATTCAAGATTCTGCAGTAATGATCCTTTCAATTCTGTCATGCGCATCTGCTAAGACAATTGTTTTCTCTAAATACGGGGCACATTTGCACTGCAAGGCATGCGAACTAAAGATTAGAGGGCAGGTAATCCACTTACAATTATTTCAATGATCTTGTAGTGGTTGCCAGCCAGCAACACTAACCATGCATCATTCAAGACTGCCATTTCAAACTTGTAACACCACTCTTCTCTGTAGTGCAGCAAATGACATCGAGAGTATTTTTAATTAACTAATTAGCTACTTGATGCCAATGAAATGTGGTGACAAAAAAAGCTGCTCACTCCGCTTATGCTTGTTGAGGTGTAGCACCATGCCCGCTTTTCGTGCAGCGGTGAAGGGACATAAATGACACTGGAGTCTGGCAGCTTTCTTGCTGCTGCTTGCAGCCACTCGTAGCTGGCGATGCCTGGCTGTGTTTCGTGGTCCGTCTATCCGTCTCATCGGCTGGACAAAAAATGCATCACAAGCAATTCGCGAGACTAGATTCAGGCTATCTGGTTACAAGCTGCACTTGAAGGACAATACAAAAACAGGCAAAAACAACTGCTCGTCAACAATTGTGGGCTTACTTTTCCACCACAAACTACAGGACACTCTCAGAAAGCGAAAACTTGTCAAACAGAACTGCTGCTCAAACAGAACAAGTGTTTTGACGAGATTGGTTCTGCTCTCGCATTACGCACCCTTGTTCATCTTTTGGTAAACGGAACATAATTACTGGTCCCTTCTGGCTCTGTTTAACGATAGTATGGGGAACCTGCATTGAGCTGGTGGCGCCGCCGCGCGGAAGGGAATGAAACAAAGTGGCATGAAACGTGCAGCAACCGCTCCACGAGCCGAGCCGTGTCATGCTAGTTGAGAGCTTTGCAATGTCACACATGAATTGCTGCGTCACTAACTCCGCTGATAATTACGAGAAATGCCCTCCTGGAAGAAAGTAATTCTGTTTTTCAGGCCGTCAATGCCTGCCAGGTAAGTGGAAACGGTGGATTCGCAGCGTTCGCCGTGTGAAGTAAGCGATCCTGTGCATGGTAATAGAGTACATCTGGTTGCTAGTTCACTTTTTAATTCCGCCCCCCGCAAGTGAACCAGTGCTTTTGCAGCGCAGACGGAATAGAGTGGCAGTGGGCAAGGTGATTTTGGGTCTGCAATGCACATTTTGTAGGTGGAAAGTCATAGACGGAGCCAGCTTCTCCCTCGTACGCTCCTGCTATTTTGCCGCCAACGTACAGCGAAACTTTGGTGATCGTGGAGGACAAGAGGTCGCACTTGGATGTACATGTATTATTTTTACGCAGACCATAGTTAAGACAGTTTAAGGGGACACTGAAACACTTTAAAAAAAACTAGATTATGGTAACACGATACGTAATTTCGGACAGCGAACATGAAAATCATGTTGAAAATTTGCATAATCCAACGCAAATAACTTCATTATGCCGAAAAGAAGCAACAGGCACCGCGGCCGCCATCGCGAGTCTCGCCGGTGCTGCGATTGGTTGAAGCTCTATGATGTCACTATCAGGAAGCTGAGAACAGCGGACTGTGCTCGCTGGCAGTCAATACCGTGTTTATCTGATGAAATCGGGTAGTTGCTGTAAGTATCGCGAATTGCAAAAGTCAAACCGAGTTCACTGTACATCCGTACATGTTCAAGCCAGTCGCCACTTTAAAAGGTCAACGACTGAAGCGGCACAGAAAAGCGAGTCCCAACAAGCCACCTTCACCCGTGTCATAACGTATCGAATCTGCGGCACAATTTGTCTCCCTTCGTTCAAGGCTCTAAAGAACCCTGCGCTCTTTACTTTCTTGAAGCCGGCATGCTTTATAACACAAATAGCTATCGCGCGCACGCACATCTGCAAAAACAGGGGGCGCAGCAGGACAGACGAAAATTCGTCGCTCGTCAGTTATAACTCGGTGGCCACTTGTGGCGCTGACGGCATGCTGGCACACTGCATCGGCGTGCCACCTGTAGGTGCCGCATGTTCCCCATACTGTATGTCCGTTTCAGAAACTCAACGAAATTCTCAACATATTGCGGTCAAACCTCGTTATGGTGAACCTCAGATTAACGGTTTTTTTTTTTTTTTCAAATGAATTACTTTTTTAGAAAACCCCCTTCAAATGTCCATTGGTGTAATGTAAAAATATTTCACGACTATGAATTTCAGAATACAGAATATTTCAAAATAACGTATCAAATCTTATTTCCCTGATATCTCCACAACACTACAATATAACGAATAGCAATTTTAAGAAGTCACTCGCGGCTGTAAAAGTAATTCCCAGCACAGTATGCGTCCCTATCATCATAACGGCTGCATATTTTTCTAATGCCCACCCTATTCAAATGTGCAATAGCCTATCGCCATCGTCATCGGCTAGTATTTCTCTTCTGCATCAGGCATCAAACCGTTGCCTTTGCTTTGGCCGAGTAGCTTTACCTACGCGCTTGTTACACAGCTGCTTTCTAGTCTTTTTGGATGGTGGTCGAACGTTGAAGATGAGCTCCCCGAGCAGCGTGAAAGGAATGCTACGGCGGTGAAAAATGCGACGCGAGTGCCTAGTGCGATCAAGTCTCCAACGATTACCCGCGCATGAACTCTACACACAGTGCGATGACGGAGCATGTGCATGTGCTTAGCTGAGGGCCGACATGATCCATAACATTTGTCATGAAAACGGCGACCAGTGCGAAAATGACATTGGAATAACCCGCGCAAACGAACGTGAACAATCGATATTTAACGACTACGCTTCTAGAGTGCAAAAAGGATGCGCACGTTTAAGAGTTCATTTTTCAGCAGTCGAACTGCCCACATCAAGATAGATCGCGCTCTTCCTTAAATAAACGCGCACTGATTTTGTACCATTTCGAGCTTGTTTTTCTCTCGCTTACTAGAGCATAACACAGCACAGGTAGGCTACTCATGTGCTTGCGTTTATGATTTTTGCGCAAATTTTCAGTACTTTCACTACGACTTTTCAAAATAAGGAATAATTTTTAGCGGTTCCTTGAGATTCGTTGTATCAAAATTTTACTGTATTTTTGAAGTTCGAACGAAATCAGCACAAGGACTGCACACCGGATGTAGGCAATGAGATAAGGTGTTTACAAAGAGCGAATTCACTTGATTTTTAGTGAAATATTTACTCTCGGAGAAATTGAACTAAACCACAAAAGTAGATTTGAAGACTACATTCAATGATAAGGTAAGTGGCAAACACAAAAAGATGTCACTCATTAACCAGGACAATCATGCTACTTTTTCAGCAAGTTTATCGAAGCCGTGCTGACAGATGAGTCGCTGCATGTGAGAACATGAAATTTTTATTTTTTTCAGAACTAGGTTATTCCACTATGGCAAAATAAACTTATTACTATTAGACAATATCCTCTGAAAGCTTTCTGGACCAAACGTGGCTATGTAGTGCCTCCAGAATCAGAGGCATTACAAGCTCTCTACACCTAACTTGCTTATGCACTGCCTCTGAAATTGGTGGGACCGACCACGAAGGCACTGTAAAGCGACGATGTCATGTGATGATGTCATGATGACAACACAAATTTTTGTGGTCTGCAACATCACGACGACGCTATGTGGTGTCACCATTACGTGGTGGCTTTTGTATCACTCGCATTAACATCGCCGATGCGGGACACCAATGCTCAATTTTTGCATTTGATGTTAAAATATTAAATATTGTAAATCATGATAAAGAGTAGTAATAATAGGTCGGAGGAAAAGAGCACTCTTTCTCCACTTCCTGGCCCCTTTCACCGATATTTCCCTACTGTTTATCAAGCTGTACTGTCATTGTTGAACTAAACACAGAAACTTGTCACATGCAGGGAATGACTCCACGTTTACCTACATGCATAGGTAACCGCACGCAGCTGTGTGGACATGAAGACCGCAGCGACCAGAGGAACAGCCTACGTACAACAAAGAACCTGAGAAAGTTAACCCCGCTACGCATGCCATTCGGCTAGGGAGGCTAACTCTGTGGCTTTCGCTAAGTGATAGTCGTGCCAGAACACACAGCCTAGCTAGCAGAAGCAGCATATTGATGGATGGCAACACATTTTTGCGGGGTGACGCATGTTTACAGCAATCCAGGGGAGATTATAGGGGCACCAGGTGCAAAGTAAAAAACGTGCTTGGGTGCGTCTTATTTTTTTAGGATTCCTGAAGCTGCTCGGAAAATCATGTTGTCAACTCGGCCTTCTTTCCCCACTGAAGCTCAGCGTGGCATCAATATTCTTGCTTTTGAGGCTGTTTAGGAGCATCTCGACGCAATGTTCGTGACTTTGATGCTTTTAGAGCAGCTTGGCGCAACAAAATGGAAACGTATAGAAAATGCGCAATACGCGCAGCTGTCTCATCCCTGTTCTCCAAAAAAACATAAAGGTGAAGAAAAAGCAATAACCTTCTCCATGATGTAAAACGACTGGCATTTAACAGTAAATCATGTCAAGCGATATGTCAAATGTCACTTTGCAGTGCCCAGGAGACAAAAAAAAAATTCCATCAAATCTGCACTTGGGCAGTGCATGAAAGTGAAGCAAGAACGCAAAGTGCAGAACACCTCTGATACTGAAAAGCATAAGCAACATCACTTTCACATACGACCTAGAATGCCTTGCTTCCATCACCCTCAGAGACTTCCAGCCCAGCTCTGATATCATGCGCTACACGTGTTATTCAAACACACATATGCGTGACATACCTCTGTACACTTTTCCAAAGCATTTGGAGCGCTCCTGAAAAAATTTTTCCTAACTGAACCATAAATTACATATTTATGTCCAAAATTAGTTTTTTGGTCCCAGTAGTAAATGAGTGTTGAAAGAATTGCAAACAAAAATATTTTATTAAGGGGGGACGCGGCCTTTGAAAACCAAAAAATCGCGAAAAAGTCGATTTTTGGCAAACCACATCGTCGGGCAGTATGTGTCATAAACTACCTTTTCTGTAAATATCAACGTCTAATTCGTCGCGAAACCATTTGAAATAAAGTTTAGAACATGCCGCGGCGGCCCTCGAGCGGCGCCCAAGCGCTCAAAATACCCCAACTTGGCGTGATCGCAGTTTCTCGACCGCTCGACGGAGCGCCGCCATTTTGGTGTTGTTTTGTTTGTGAATTCTTGCTCTTTCTTTCACCAGCACCTGCGTCGCCGGCGGCAGCGCAGGAGAGGAGCAAGCCGCTCATGACTGGAGGGCTTGCGAGAGCTTTCAAGTTTCCCGCGGCTGAGGCGCGCAGCTGGGATTGGGCGAAGCGCGCGCTCCCCAAGGACGCGGGGGAGCCCGCGACTGCCATTGGCTGCTGCGCGCGATGACGTAGCGCTCTTGCGCATAATGCGGCCGATGCGGCCGCTCGTCTGCTGCTTCTCCGTCCGGCGTCTTTGTGTTCCGCTCGCTTCCGTGTATCGTTGCAGCCGTTCGCATACTCTCCACGTTTCAACTGTCTTCGAAACGATTTTCAACCGTCTTTACGAGACGATTTTCAACCGTCTATACGAGACCGTTGTTGTGTTCGCTCACGATGCGCCCAACGAAAAAGAAGACGCTACAATCGTTCGGTGCAAGGAAGCGAGCTATGAAGCTTGTCCGCGCGGCGAGGCTCTCCGCTCGCACGTGCGCCGACGGTGATCGCGCCGACAGTACCTGTGGGGCAGCTTCTGCTTCATCTACGCAAGAGAGTGGTCGCATCGACGCGCCTAGCAACGGGACTTCTGCTCCACCGGTGCAAGAATTTGTCGTTACAAGTGCGCCTGGTGTCTCGTGCTCATCGACAGTGGCTTCCGCATCTTCTCTTTCATCGGCCTCGAGTGCGATCGCGTCGTCAACTGTGCATTTGCGAACAAGTTTCCTGACGTGCGAGGAGAAAGAGGCGGCGGATCAACAACGCGCTGCTGTGCAAAGAGAACTTGGCGCTATGCCAGCGACGGAGCGGAAATTTCAGGCAATGGAGCGTGATCATGAAGCTGCCACCGCTACAAGTGAAGGCGAAAAATTTTTCCTTGTGCAAATGGATGCCCTAGACGACCTACTATCTCGGACCCCGTGCCACTGGTGCACCGCGATTGGGATGAAGGTACGAGGAGGCACCCAACTTGGACTTGCTGCAAAGCTTGAGCTAGTATGCTTGCATTGTGGAGTAGTTTCAAGCTCATGGAGTTCATCTCGTCAGGATGACACAAAGGCCTTTGATGTGAATGTAAGAGCCATTATGGCAACAAAACAAATAGGCAAGGGACAAACAGCTCTCAACGACTTTTGGGCAGCGATGAACGTGTCCCATCGTGGCCTCCATCACAAGACCTTTCAGAAGCACCTGAAGAAATTCAGGGAACCGCAGACACAATGCATAGAAAATTTCTATGCAGAATCTGCTTCTGCTGTAAAAGCCACTTACAAAGAAATGGATCAATATTTCACCAGGGATATAACAGTTTGTTATGATGGAACATGGCACAAGCGTGGGCACACATCCCATATTGGAGTCGGGGCAATTATCGAATACCATACGGGCCTTATCTTGGACACCGTTGTTCTGTCTAATCAGTGCCTTGGTTGCCAAGTAGGGCCAAAGCCTGGAGACGCAGACTATGCATGCTGGCTGGAGAATCATGTGTGCCAGAAAAACACCGACTCTAAATCAGGGAGAATGGAGGTTGAGGCAGCTATCATCCTCTTTTCACGCTCACTGTCGAAGCACAACCTCCGTTACACAACGCTCGTGTCTGATGGAGATAGTGCCACCTTCTCTGCCCTTGTACAAGAAAATGTTTATGGACTGGACCCATTTCAAAAGAGGAATGCCTGAACCACGTTCAGAAGAGGATGGGGACTGCACTTCGCAACCTTGTGCAGAAAAGTGACAAGGTTTTGGGAGGGAAGGCCATGCTGACAAAGGCCCTCATCGACAAGTTGACAGATTATCATGGCTGGGCCCTACGGAACAATTCTGATGATGTGACTGCAATGCGGCGGGCAGTGATGGCATCGTACCACCATGTGACGTCGACGAATGAGGAGCCGCACCACGACTTGTGCCCAGAGGGTGCAGACTCCTGGTGTCGTCACAATGCCAGCAAGATTACCGGTGTTCCACCTCCGAAGCATTCGTACAAGCTACCACGCTATGTTGCAGATGCACTTCTACCCATTTATGAGAGGCTCTCACAGGCTTCTCTTCTGCAACGCTGCCTGGGAGCAAAGACGCAGAATGCATCAGAGTCCTTTCACTCTGTGCTGTGGTCCCTCATGCCCAAAGAGCAGCATGCGTCACTGATTGCTGTGGAGACAGCACTGCATGATGCAGTGCTAAGATACAATGCTGGCTGCTACAGGGCCACCCAAGAGCTAGCTTCATCAGTGGGGCTAACACCTGGCCACCTGGCCATTCAACGGGCAGCCGAGAAAGATTCTCTGCGCTTGAAAAAGGCTAAGAAGCGATCCCTAGAGAAGATGGAAAGGCGGCAGAGAAAGAGAGTGCCAAAGGACACCTCCAGTTACGCTGCATGTTCATTTTAGAACTGGCTATGTGCTCAAAACTTTCAAACGTCGTTTTCTCAAAATGACTTTTTTGGCTAGTAAGGCTGCTTATTCCAGCCATATCTCTGGAACCACTCATTGGATTTCCATAATTGGATTTCCATAAGTCTTTTTTTTATTATGTACATGAATAAATTTCTGAGGGGGTGACAAGCCCATTTTTTCAATATATTGTGTGTGCTTTTATTATATTTAATCAAAATTTGATTGATAATATCCTAATCACGAACACAAAGTTTGATGGTCTGCTAAAACTTTTCAGCAAGGAAATTCAAAAAAAGGGCTCTGTTACCCCCCGGGAGTATCAATCTGGGAATCATCATAGTTAATTTCACAGTTCCAGCACCTTTTGAAAGTTCTCCAGGCCTGGAATAAGAGAACCATGTGCACTACCCTGATATTCTGCTGTAACTTGAAAAGCAGTGAACATAACTTGATGAAATTTTGTAGTTCTTCTAATGCTTTTGCTATAAGTCTATCCTAAAAATTTAATTAAAATATCTCAATAAACAAAAAAGTTGGTATCCTATGGTAGCCTCCCCCCTTAAAAGAAAATAATGGCCACAGAAGTCAACATAATGAACACATGCCATTATGACATCATTTTACTTCACTCACAAACTGACATTTTTTAGTACAGCAGCTGCTTTGAAAAAAAATAGCTCGGTGGCAGCCACATCGACTCGCTAGAAACATGGTACCTAAAGCTAATGCTGGCTTTGATGCGGGTGTTCCAGTCAAATTTACGTCGATGTGGCGCAAACAGTGAATAGTGGAAACGAAGGTGTGACGAATGCCTAACCGTAAATGTACGCATTCCAATCCGTGAGTACTGCAGTTGGAAAAAAAAAACAATAGCTGTGAAAGTACAGATTATAATTACGCAGGGCCACGACATCGCACAACTTGTCTACCTGAAAGATTTTTAAGTGTCAAAACACAGACAGGCAACTTAAATTGCGAGGTCCCAGAACTGTGCTGCGATTTATAAAAAGATATCAAATTGAAGTACTCTGCACGGATTTTTCCAAGCTTTGTTTTATTATGCACTTATACATAGGCATGAGCATTTTAGCATTTTGCCTCCAATTAAAAGTGGTTTCAGAACAACACACTGACATATTGTCAAAAAATATGTGGAATCCTCGTTATGCGCGAATCCCACAGTGACCGAATATTTTCACAGGCCCACAATTACTTATCATTGTCACCGGCATTGACAGTGAAGAATGCAACATTCAAGCTAGTAAAGATTACGTTACGCATTTGGCGAACCAGTGCCCAGCTAAACGAAACGCAACTCAACAGCAACAAGCACAGTGAACACTTGTCAAGAACCTGAAAGGCAAATTATAAGCCTCAACTATTCAAGCCCGAATCCTGGTGCATGCCAGCACCAGCACGTTCCTGAATGTGCTCCGTCGCTCACATCGTGCATGCAATTGAAATCGTGCAGATTTGAAAGATTCCAGCGAGTTCTGAAACACACAGGCATCGCTCGCATCACAGAGCAACAGAAGAAAGATGTGAAGCATAGTGAAACCATGTCGCATGCACAAAGAGTACACATGCCAATATCCAAACAAGACCTCCTGGTACAAGAGGCAACTACAAAATTGTGCCAGGAAATGACTGAGGCAGTATTTCCAAAATATACTCACGGTTCTTCAAAAATTTTAGGATAGCCGACACCACATCTTCGGAAGTTGCTGCACGTTCGATTACATTGCTGCCAGCATTCACCGCAGCTCCAGTGGGTCTATTCACCGCAGTTCCAGCACATTTTTTAAATTCCACTTTAATTTTTCCTGGAAAACAGAAACAGCTTTCAATGTAAAAAGCGCTTTCTACATTGAAAATCTGACCTGCTAGTAATGGATGATTCCAAGGCAGTTGTACAGTAATTGAGAAAAGACAACTCGGAGGAGACATAGGGCCTAGAGTACAGACTTAAAAGATTTATTTCACTCGATTCCTCACCCGGCATAGTTAAAGAGTGTAAAAGTGTGTATTTGCAACAATAATATTGAAATTAGGCTTAGAAACAGATGAACTCAAGTGGAAAGCTTTATGAAATACTGCTCTTTGATTTGAATTCAAAATTTTATGGGTGGAAGGGAGCAATGTTCGTGCAGAAATCTTGCATATTGCCACCTGCTCATAATGGGTCGGCTCTTGTCGAGAGAGAAAAGATCTCAAGCATCTCTTTTGCTCAAGAGCCAGCTGCCCGACGAACGCATTTTCCAGAAGCTGGCTACTTGGTGGGTAATTAAAGTGATGATGATGATGATTAGTGGAGTTTTGAGGTGCAAGGGCCGCAGGAGGCCAAAGAGCGCCATGTCTTTGATGCGATGTACGCAATGACCATTGATTGAGATGACGGGGCGTATTAAGACTGTATAGAAATTAAAATAACGCACTATATAAAGGCATGAAATGTTGGGCATAAACCATAAAGTTATGACAGTTATACGCGATTTGATGTATGGGTCTGGAATGAATTACAATTGGCCATGGTATCTACAAGTGAGCGACCGTACAATAGCACGAATGCCTCCTCAACTTCTGTCAAACCAAAGGCTGAGAGGCAGGAGCTTCACAGAGTAGCTACCGCAGCAACAACCTCTGCGGGAAGGTTATCGTACAGATCTCCCTTATATATTATGCTGAAGCTGTGAATTTCATCTAAAAACACAATGACTGATATTTAAAGAATGCTTCTTTGCCAATAAACATCCCAGGATGGAGTGGAATGTGTTCATGGCAGGCTAACAAAAAATGCTTTTTTTCTTATAGAGTCTAATTCACTGCATTGGATGAGGATGCGGTTGACAGTGAGTGATTCATCACATCTATCACACATAGGTGGATCACCACCGCGCAAAAGGTAAGAATGCGTGCTGTGTGTATGTTCTGTTCTTCGCCTTGTAACTTCTGTGTGGCGTGATTCTGATACTGGCGGCCAATTACCAAGGAACGGCTTGATGACGTTGTTAAGTTTGGCCTGGAAATTCGTCTGGGCAGACGCCATTGTGCGTAAGCCGGTCCACTGGGGAGGCTCTCAATCCCTTCGGCACCCAGTCTGCCAGACGCTGTCGAAGATTTGAGTATTGACCCAGACAATGCGGCAAGCAAAGGCGAGTTCCCGTCTTTCAAATGCGGACCCTTTTGTCGTCCCTTCAAGCAGCAGCGGTGCCTGATGACCTCGGTGATTCATCTGGCGATGGGGAAGCTGTTGTGACCGGCGCCAGAGCTGACAGGAAAGCGGCGCTCCTTTTAATCCTCAATCAAGTAGACGACCGGCCGGCTGCCTATGCCCGCCGGGCATTGTCCCTGCTAGCAGGAGGATGAGACGTCGTGTCGCCACAACGCCATGACGAGAGAGGACAACAAAGACAGCATCTTACTGGAAGAGACCGCGGCAGCCACCGCAAATCACCCAGCCGATTAGGCAAGCTGTGCGGCAGACCCTTTGATGTACGCTGTCAGGATCGTGGCAACTTTGGACTAGCGGCACACACACTACGAGGAAGAGCCCTGCTGGCGCCACCTTGCAGTGCAGTGTTCACGACTCAATATTGGACGTTCACGTGTACTGTGCATGCTCGTCCCCCTCACCTGTTGTGTGTGTGTGATTGGTGTTCCACTCGGAGAAGAGGAGCCCGACAGGGCTTAAAACGGCGCCGCAGAGTGCTGGACGTCGCTCTGACCATGTAACGGTTCACCACCACGGCGCGTGTTTGTGAAACCCCTAACCTTCTTTTCTGTAATATGTGTAAATAGTGCTATAAACTGTTTTGTTTCTCGTATCCTCCAGCGACCTTCCTTCCGACCCTTTACAAACTGGTGGCAGCGTGTGATTCCATCAGCGACCTCCTCACTTCCGAACCTTAACACGTGAGTTATTTTAGTGAGATTACCGGACGTCACATTTGATATTCAATTCCCTATGACGTTTCCAGGTTCATTTGATTAAAGCGAATTCAGACCTACTCGCCGGATGAGTGTGCACTTAGGATACCCCTTCTTTGGAGTAAGCAAAAGTCATCACCCACAGTATGTGTGACATCACTCACCACAAACACACACAGTAGATTGGACCAGCCCGCGCTATCATGGGCGAATGGTCTCGTTTTCGTCGTGACACCTGTCGAACAAAATGCGTTAAAGGGGCCCTGAAATACTTTTTCAAGTAGCCATGGAATGAATTCCCTAGAAGATCTTATTAACTCACGAATTCAACGCCACAAAAATTTTAAGAATCCGTCCAGTACAAGTGGAGTTACAAAGGTTTGTCGCATGCTGCATTGGCATTATCTTTTCTCTCAACGAAAGCGCTGGAAGCTAAGCAAGGAGGTGTGGCAGGGGCAAAGAAACTACCGCGACTCGTGACCTTGGGCATTTTTTTTTTTCTTCGAATGTGCGACGTTTTCAGTGTGATCACGCGCGCACGCGTGGACAAGTAGCGGCCTCCTGCGGCTGTCTTAGTAACTTGATTTTTCGGTCACAGACGCATAGACGATTTTTTGCTCACAACCAACAGGGCCGACGCCGGTGGCATGTTTTATGCGACACGACCTCTTTAACGCTATCGTGTTAAAAATCAGGCGCTCCATATAAGTAAACATAATTATCAGATGCACTCAGAATGTTCTGAGCACGTGCAGTGGATGTGAAAAAAAACATGTATATTTGGCCAAAACAAAACACCTCAGCTAGGCAGTGAGCAGCCAGCTGTTTGATGTTCGGGAGAACCAGGAAGCAAACACACAAGTTGAAAGTAACCATTGATGAAAGTTTCAAGGAGCCTGCGATAGTCAGACATCACAGTTAAAGCTGCTAGGAAACGAAGAGGTGCCATCTCGCAGCATCCGTGTAAAATGAGGACACGGGAGCCTGGCGGGTTCTGCCACTGGAGTATGATCTGTTTTACTTTAATAGCTGCAGCCCAGGCCGTTAGTATGCGGATTGCATTAGATTTCATACGACGTGGATTGCTGTATTCATTGTTGATTTGTGTCGCCGCCTAATTTACACACCTCTAAAATATACTTTCGAGCAAAAAAAGGGAAAAGAATAACGCAGTAGAGATTTTTGAACAACAGGAAATAGAGGAACGGAACCGAGAGGAACGCAAAAGAGAGGAACGGGAACGAGAGGAACGGAAACAAGAGGAACGCGAAAGAGAGGCACGAAAAAGGGATAGAAAAGAGCGTGATCAAGCACGCGAATTGGAGGTTAAACTTCTGGAACGTAAAATTGAAGCAATACGACAGAAGATTCTGCCATTTGCAAGTGTAGCGCAAGAGAAGTGCGAGGTGCAGCCCCGAGCTTTAGAGAAGGCTAGCACGTTTAAAGACAGCAGCAGGTTCGATGAAGAACCGAATTCGAGTGCTGCGAAAAGTGCTGCACTGAATAGAGAGGCCGACGAAGGCCAGAGCGAGTGCCACGAGGTGCTGTGCCAGTTAGCTGTTAGCGAAACAGCTAGGATAGCTGTAGAAAAGCTGGTACAGATCTCAACTGTGTTTGTCGCAAAGGTGGATCTTGCAAATGAGGTCGAAGACATCAAGAACACCAGAGAAAGCTCAGGAGAAGCAGCAAATGTAGAGAATGGTATCAGTGCAGTTGCAGACAGCTCTCAGGAATGCGAGCAAGTTTTTTCGAAGGGAAGCAGCTGCATTGTTCCTAAGTGTGTTAACCGCCGGTGTAGAGGGTGAGAATAAAGATGATTTGGCCGAAAATCATTCAGACCGCGCGACTGAGACAGCAAACGATAGCTGTGAGAGGGTTCACGAGTGTGAGATGCGATCGGGAGGCTCGGAAACCAGACGCAAAAAGCGGCGCAGACGCAAAAGATGTCGGAGAGCCATGAGCGAGACGAACAGTACTACGCGTGTAAAAGAAGGCGCAAAAACTGTCAGCGTAGCAAATAAGAGCTTTGCAGCAGCGTCAAAACTGCGTTGCAGGCGTCCGAGCAACCGGACGAAAAGTAAGAGGAAAGCGGGTTCGCAAATGAAATCGAATGGGAGGCACCAGGTTAGTTGGGTGCGCGAGTACAAAGTTAACACAGGTGAATCGGCGCGACATGTCAACAGTGCTAGGGAGGATGAGACGTCGTGTCGCCACGACGAGAGAGGACAACAAAGACAGCATTTTCCTGGAAGAGACCGCGGCGGCCACCACATATCGCCACGCTAATTAGGCGAGCTCTGCGGCAGACCCTTTGATGTACGCTGTCGGGATCGTGGGAACTCTCGACTAGCGGCACACACGCGACGAGGAAGAGCCCTGCTCGCGCCACCTTGCAATGCAGTGTTCACGACTCAATATTGGACGTTCACGTGTACCGTGCATGCTCGTCCCCCTCACCTGTTGTGTGTGTGTTATTGGTGTTCCACTCGGAGAAGAGGAGCCCGACAGGGCTTAAAACGGCGCCGCAGAGTGCTGGACGTCGCTCTAAACCATGTAACGGTTCAACCACCACGCTCGTGGTTTGTGAAACCCCTAACCTTTCTTTTCTGTAAATATGTGTAAATAGTGCTATAAACATGTTTTGTTTCTCCTATCCTCCAGCGACCTTCCTTCCGACCCTTTACAACTGGTGGCAGCGGTGGGATGCCATCAGCGACCTTCCTCCTTCCGAACCTTAACAACGTGTAGTTTATTTTATGTGTGATTACAGGACGTCTACCAATTTGATATTTCAGAATTCCCTGACGTTTCCAGGTTTTCCATGATGATTAAAAGCGAATTCCAGACCACTACATCTGCACTGAAAAAACTGTGCACTATAAACAAACCCTCGAGT